ATATATATGTATACAAAAATGTATTCCATTGACATATTTCTTATTATCCGTATGGGTGGGACCCCCCTCCCTCCGAAATGGAACCTCCCGGATCCGTGGCCCCAGGGTCTCCTGGACGCCCCTGTGAGAGGCCCCCCAGGCTTTTCAGAGCTACTGGAAGCTTTTGCTGAGCCTAGGCAACGGGCCCAAATCGGTCAGGAGGGCGGCCGAACGGCTCCCCAAGAGGCCCCAGATACCCACCAGACGCCCGAAGACGACCCAGCGAAGACACCCAAGAGGTTTTCAAAACGCAGAAAAAAATAGATTGATTTTCTTTTGTTTTACATGATTTTGGGAATGCCCTGTTCTTCGGTCTTCTGGGCGTCCGAGACAGCCTGGGAGGCCCGAAAATCGGCCCAAAACCATCCCAAAGGGCTTCCAGGCAGTCCAAGAGAGCCCCAAGACGGCACAACAAGGTTCCAAGATGGCCAAGATGGCTTAAGAGAGCCCTATGACTCTATGACGGTCCAAAATGACCCCAAGACGCCCTCCGAAGCCTTCCAAATCGTGACCCGGTCGTTCAGGGAGACCGCGGTTGGAGGCAGGGTGGCCCGAGGAAGCCCCCACAGGCCCCCAGATGATGCCCAGGAGGCCTCCAGAAGGCCTGAAGAAAGCCTTAAACACTTCCGCGAGGCCCCCAGAGGCTCTCCAAGGAGATGCTTCCGCAAACAGTTGAGGAGGATAGGGGGAGAATTTGAAGGGTAGGGCGGGATGCTGAAATAGAAGCACGGAGGAAGGATCATTAATCATATGGTCCTAACGGCGATGCCGGATGCCGGAAAAGGCAACAAGGAGGTATCGCTAAATTGTTTGTTTGATTTTCCTGCCCTTCCGCCTGCATGCTAACCTTTAAGGACCAAGGTGCATGGCGCGAAGCGCCAATGCAGTCTTGTACGTATGTCTGTATATATGCAGATAGATATGCATATACATATCTGTATGTAACTCTATAGATGTATAAAGGTATATACGGTTGCCCCCCAAGATTATACATTGCATCTGGAATGGTATTCACGTTCATCATCGTCTCATTCATCCTTCCCTTCTCTTCTTCCGTCCTCACCCCTCTCCAAACACCATTCCTCCTCCTTCTCCTCGCCCATCCTCCTCCTCCTCATTCTCTGTTATGTTTCCTCCTCTTTGCAGTAACACAAAAAACAATAATACACAGTGTTTGGCACCTTCGGTACAAGGACACGCTGTGTATGTTTGGTTGTTCTGGTTTTTTTCTGGACTAGGATGCAAGGAAACATTGTGTATGGTCGGTTAGCTTGGTTTTTGGGGGCTTGGGAAGCTCAAGTGCTCCCCGCGGCCTCTCCCCAGCACCTCCTCCTTTCTTTTCCTCCTCCTTGTTGCAAAGCAAGGAAACCAAGAATACACAGTGTTTGGCGCCCTCGATACAAGGAAACGCTGCGTATGTTTGTTTTTTGTTGTGTGGGTTTAGGATGCAAGGGATTATTATGTATGTTTTTTGTGCTTTTATTTCTGGTTTTGAAAGCTCACCCTATGGTGCCACGAAGCGCGTGAGGGGTGTGCCGAAACGTGCGTGGGTGACGCATGCGGACAGTGGCACTGGGGCCTTCGGTGGAGCTCCCTCCCTATGGGGCCACGAAACGTGTGAGGAGTGTGCCGAAATGGGCGTGGGTTTCGCATGCGGGCGGTGGCACTGGCGCCTTCGGTGGAGCTCCCTATGGGGCCACGAAACGTGTGAGGGGTGTGCTGGAATGGGCGTGGGTAACGCGTGCGGGCGGTGGCACTGGGGCCTTCCTTGGAGCTCCCTATGGGGCCACCCAACGTGTGAGGGGTGTGCCGAAGCCTGCGTGGGTGACGCATGCGGGCGGTGGAACTGGGGCCTTCGGTGGAGCTCCCTATGGGGGCTTCGGTGGAGCTCCCTATGGGGCCACGAAGCGTGTGAGGGGTGTGCCGACATGGGTGTGGGTGACGCATGCGGGCGGTGGCACTGGGGCCTTCGGTGGAGCTCCTTGTGGGGCCACGAAGCGTCTGAGGAGTGTGCCGAAACCGGTGTGGGGAACGCATGCGGGCGGTGGCACTGGGGCCTTCGGTGGAACTTCTTATGGGGCCACGATACGTGTGATGTGGGTGACGCATGCGGGCGGTGGCACTGGGGCTACGGGGCCACGAAACGTGTGAGGGGTGTGACGACATTGGTGTATGTAACGCATGCGGGCGGTGGCACTGGGGCCTTCGGTGGAGCTCCGATGGGGCCACGAAACGCGTGAGGGGTGTGCCGAAATGAGCGTGGGTAACGCATGCGGGCGGTGGCACTGGGGCCTTCGGCGGAGCTCCCTATGTGGCCACGAAACGTGTGAAATGGGCGTGGGTAACGCGTGCGGGCGGTGGCACTGGGGCCTTCCTTGGAGCTCCCTATGGGGCCGCGAAACGCGTGAGGGGTGTGCCGAAGCCTGCGTGGGTGACGCATGCGGGCGGAGGCACTGGGGCCTTCGGCGGAGCTCCCTATGGGGCCACGAAACGTGTGAGGGATGTGCCGAAAATGGTGTGGGTAACGCGTGCGGGCGGTGGCACTGGGGCCTTCGGTGGAGCTCCCTATGGGGCCACGAAGCGCTATGCTGGGTGGGTGAAACGCAAGGAGGAGGGAGGAGGGAGGAGGAGGGAAGAGGAGGAAGGAATGGAGGAAGGAAGGAGGAGGAGAACGCGGGGACCGTCTCTTCAAAACGAGGACCCAGCACCACAGGATGGTTGGGAAATATTTGGCAAGGTTGTTCGAGGTTGTCCGTGCCACTTCGGTGTCTTTCATGCGGCCGCCTCGTCCACGCTCCAACCACCAGGGTGACAGTTCCGACCCGTGCCGCCACAGCGTCACATGTGCCGCTGTGGTGTCTTTCCTTCGGTCGTTCCCTCTTCCCGCCGCCTACCAGGGTGATGGCTCGACCCGTGCCGCCGCAGCGTCACATGTGCCGCCGTGATGTCAGTCATGCGGTCGCTCTTTCTCCCCGCCGCCTACCAGGGCGATGGTTCGACCCGTGCCGCCGCGTCATCACATGTTCCGCCGTGGTGTCGGTCATGCCGTCATTCCTCCTCTGCGTATTCCCCTAGGGCAGCAGAGCCCTCGCGCCCAAGGAGCTCCTCCAGCTACTTTCGACCTCCGGGCAGCTCCCCATCGCAGTGATCAGGAAGTGGAGAACGCACACAAGTTACGTACCACACATCGGGGGCGTCCACATGGGCGCGGGAGGCCTGCGCCGACCTGGCGCGAGGGAATCGAGCGGCCAGGTGGAGTGAACCACAGGCTCTGGCAAGGGCCGAACTACCCGTTGAGACGGGCAGCTTCCGATCGGAACGAAATCGTATCTTTCCGTTTCTTCGGGCGTGCGTTCTAGAGGGGTGTTTCTGTTTTGATTGCGTTCCCGCGCCCCCCTTCCCTCCCTCCCTCCCTCTCTCTCCGTTTCCCTCCCTCCCTCTCTTTCCCTCCACGTGTCTCTCCATGTTTCTCGCTCTGTCTCTCTCTCTCTCTCCCTTTGGGTGCCCTCTCTGGAGAAGGGCAGGGCGTGGGCGCCTGACGCCTCCCCCCCCGGCGGGGGCGAAGACGGACGAGAATGGGGACCCCCCTTCCGAGGACGAGGGCGAGGACGAACGAGGACGGACGAGGGCGAGGGCACGAGGACGAGGACGAGACGAAGGCACGAGGGCGAGGGCGAGGACGAACGAGGACGGACGAGGGCGAGGACACGAGGGCGAGGACGAGACGAAGGCACGAGGGCGAGGACACGAGGACGACGACGAGGACGAGGAGGGATGGCGCCCTCCCTCGAGGCGCCCGCCCCGAGATGGCGCTCCCCCGCCCGCGCGCCCTCCTGGCGTGCGCGCTGCTGCACGCCGCGGGGTGCCGCGCGCCTCCCGTGCAGCTGGAGGCCGCCGCCTCGTGGCGCCGCCGGTTGGCCGCCGCCGCCGCCCGCCGCGTGCCCGCCGCGCGCCCGCCGCGCGCTTTCTCGGGCCGAACGAGAGGGGGGGATAGGGAAAGGGGGGGTTACGAAATCTGCGGCATGCAGCTGGTTTCGGCCTCGCCGCCGTGCCCATTCCTCGATGCATGGGCGCCGGGAGGCGCCGGGAAAATCAGCCACGTGAGCTGATTTTCACCCCCCCCCCCCCCTTTGCTATGCCCCCTTTCGCCCGACCCGACTTTGGGGGGCGAAGAGCAGTGGGGCACTCGAGCAGTGGCGGAGCGTCGCGGCTCGCCTAGAGGTCCTCCCGGGAATTCTCTGCGAGCCGTCTGTGGTCTGCACGACATGTTCTTGGAGCATGTGCTGCTGAGGCTGTCTTGTTTTGACACATCGGGCTTAGGTTCCAGGAACACTGCTCTTGTGATTCGAGCATCTGGGGGGTCTGAAAACATTTCGTGGTGGGCCTATGAGGAATGCCGAGACGGTCGGTCCCTGCTCAAAACATGTTTCCGCGGCCAGGGGCGCCTGTCCCAGGGTTGCTTGGGAGTTGGTTGGTACCCCAGTGGAAGATCGGGGCGACACTGCCCAGCCGCCCCGGGAAGTACGCCCTGGATTTCCGACCCATGTTCCTGAAGTGATGGGATGGGTCGGCCAAGGTCGCGCCACGTTGCCGTAGCCGTGCCGGGTCGTCGGCGCTCTTGGGCCACCCGTGCGTTGGGTGGGCCGAGATTGCGCCACGTTGCTGCCCTTGTCGCCTCGTCAGCGCTCGTGGGCGCCCCGTGCTGTGGGTGGATCTGCCGAGGTTGCGCCACGTTGCCACGCTTGGGCACCCCGTGCGCTGAGCTGGCACCACATAGCCTACGCGACATAGCTCACAACACCTAAACTACACCGCGCAGCTTCCACCCCCACAGTACAGTGCAATAGCTTGAGTATGTTCCTGGGCCAGGTCCCATACCTTTCTATAGAGCTGCGCGCAGGAACCTGACACCTTTATTTTCTGGTCCCCGGTGCCACTTTGGACGTGTCGGCGCGTCGCCCATGGCGGCCAGTTGATCCCAAGCAGACACTGCAGATTGGAAAAGGAAGGTGCCACGCCTACCGAGCGGCCTGCGCCCCGATCCTCCAGGTCCTGGCCCCCCGGGCACGCTCAAGCTGCAGCCCACTGCTCGAGGTCCACGCCGGCGGCCCTTTATTTCTTCCTGCGCCTCGGCCGCTCACCGTCGGCCGCCGAGGCCCTCGTGCCCGCCCAGCTGGAGGCCGCGCGGGCCGTGGAGGAGGCCGCCCGCCGCCGTCCTCGGCCGACGATGGGCGGCGGCGACGTTCCCAGATCCCCTCGGGGGGAGGAGGAGGAGGAGGAGGAGGAGGAGGAGGAGGAGGAGGAGGAGGAGGAGGAGGAGGAGGAGGAGGAGAGGAGGAGGAGGAGGAGGAGGAGGAGGAGGGAGGAGGAGGAGGAGGAGGAGGAGGAGGAGGAGGAGGGAGGAGGAGGAGGAGGAGAGGAGGGGGAGGGGGAGGAGGAGGAGGAGGAGGAGGAGGAGGAAGAGGAGGAGGTCGCGAGGAGGAGGAGGAGGAGGAGGTCGCGAGGAGATCGCGGGGCGCCGCCCTCCTGGCCCGGGCCGCGCCGCCCTCCTCAGATCCCAGATCTCAATGCAAACGGGGGTCTGTCAGCCAGGGCGCCGGACCTTTCAGGATCCTGCAGGGCCAGGGGCGCACTGACCGGGATTTGGGTGCAGGATCCGGCAGGATCTTGCAAGGCTTGCCTGCCCCAGGTCTGCATGGATCCGGTCAGCAGGTTGCCGATCTCCGACCCCAGGATTTGTTCAATCCGTCGTGTTGCCCCGATGCGGGGCCCGTCATCGGGCCCTCCGGGGCCTTCAAGAACGAATCCGGGGCGAAGGACCAGCCCCAGGGGAGGGCGAGCGGGACCTTGTGGGCCCGCGCATGGGAACAAGAATGCAGCCGGCATGGAGGCCAGAGCACCGGTGGCCGATTGCTGGCCACAACCCGCGTACCCTGTGCAGGATAGGCTTGTTTGTAAGTGGTCGGAGGGGCTATCGACGAGGAGATATCCGTTCCAGAGCGTTCCGAAACGCTCTCAGAGCGGTCTTGAACGCTCTGAGAAGGCCGCGGCGCCCGAGGCATCTTCCAGAGCCGCCAAATTTCAGAGAGATTCTCTACTTATCCCCACCCGATGTTATCCTCGTCCTGGCTTTGCCTTATGTGGGACTTGTGTACAACCATCGCGCCCCTAGGGCACGATTCACGAATACAGTGAGGAAGGCTCAGGCGAAACTGCGGCTGGCGCCGGCCTTCTCGAGCTCCCCATCCCCCTTTCTGGGAGTCTTGCTTGTTTTGTTCACCATCGTTTATCCGATCACCATTCTCACTGGACCATGGTATCTCAGTTCCGCTAGACCAGCCTCCAAGATGGGGATACGCCCGCACAACCCGAAGGGAACAGCACATATCCCGATCTAGGGTGGTAAATCGCCCAGCGGGGCCATGGCCATGCCAATTGGGGATAGGGATAGGCTGACGAATGGTAATTTATCACCACCATTCGAACCATCTGGCGAGACGCCATGAGGAAACCACATCGGCGGACGTCAGGTGTCGCGGCGGCAAGGAGGCGCGGCCGCTGTACTCCAGCAGTGGCGAAGCATCCCGACCTGCCTGTAGGCTCACCGAGTAATGCTCTAAGAACCTCGCGCGCTTTGCATGCAGTGTTCCTGGAACAGTTTTGGCCGAGACTGTCTTGTTTGCATCCGTCGGTTCTGTGGTCTAAGAACGCTGCTTTAGACTATGCCGTAGTCTAGGCCTGCACGAAGGCCGTGACGGCTGTTCCCCGCTTGTTGTCTCTCTTTTTTTGTGTAGATTTCTGTTACCACCATTGCAGCCCTCAATGTGTCCCGACTTAGGGTGGTAAATCGCCCAGTGGGGCCAAGGCCATGCCAATGGGGATAGAGATAGCCTGAAGGATGCTCAGTTTTTACCGCCCGTGGAGCCCTCCACCAAAACGCCACCAGGGAAGGTGACGACCACGACGACCACGACCACGACCACGACCACACGACGACGACGCCGACGCCGCCGCTGCCGCCGACGATGCCGACGACGACGCCGACGACGACGCCGACGACGACGCCGACGACGACCATCAGCGGACGTCCGGGGCCTGGCGGTCCGCGAGGCGTGTGCCGCGCCGGGCGGTGCGGACTGCCCGCGGGAGGGTTGCTCCCTGCTGCAGACGGCGCGGGCTGCGGGGGGCGGCCGCGAGCAGGCGCTGCTGCAGGCGGCCGCCCACCGCTCCCGGGGCGCGGCGTCCGCGGCAGAGGTGGCCGCCTCCCGCCGGGAAGGGGGGGGGGGGTCCTCCGCCTCCCCGCGACGCGAATCCACCTTCAGCTGCAGGGTTGTGGCGTTCCCCTCCTCCCTCCTGCTCCTCCTCCTCGTCCTCCTTGTCCTCCTTCTCCTCCCCCTCCGCAGCTATTTTTGGCTCAAGCCATTTTGGCTCAAGTGGGGACAGGCCCCATTGAGTGTGACAGCTCTCTTCAGAGAGCGCTCTCGAAATCGAATTCGAGCGGACACTTTTCACCCAGGCGGTGAGGTCACGACCGAGCGGCCGTTATTTTTCTCTCATATCCGCATTTTGCTAATGGCGCGAGCTGTCTCCACCGATGAGAAACTCGACCTCGTGATGACACGACTGGACGGCATGGGCAACACGCTCAGGGAGGTGCCGCCCTAGTCAGGAAGGTCGACAATATCGCTGATACCGTAGAGAGGCACGGGAAGCTCTTCGAGACCATCCAAGCCGACCTTGCCGCCCTGAAGAAGAAGTGCAACGAGAGTTACAGCGAGAGCAGCGCAGGAGGCAGTACCGGGGGTGGATTTTCTGCAGTTGGTGGGGAGCCTGGTGTGAAACGTGCGCGCCGTGCCCTTTCTTCCCCTCCTGAGCGTGGTCGACCGAGTGATGCATGCAAAGTATGGATCGGAGGCTTTCCTAGGAAGGTGCTTGACAAGCAGTTCGAAGCCCATTTGGAGATCGCCAAGACGCTCATCAGCCTTGCCGTCGCTAGGGATGCCATGTTAAAGTTGCACAACCTGCAGTGCGTGTACTCTGTGATATTTCCTGTCGAAGAGGCCAAGGATTTCATCGCTCTCACCCGTCTGGATGATTCCAATATGACGTGGAAGGATTCTCGCAATTGCGAACCTAGGCTTCTTCGAGCACGTCCAGATCAGACCGTGGACGTCGCGCGCAAGCAGAAGTTGCCAGGCAAGTTGTGGGGGCCCATCCTCCAGGAAGTCAAGGAGCATGTCCGATGGTTTGAGGGCTGCAGGCCGGGCTTGGCGCCAGCGGGCCCACAGGCGTCCTCTTCGCCACCTCCGCTGACGATGTCTGGGACTTCTTCGCCCTACAGGAGGCCCCTGGCGAGACCTTCAGCACCATCCCGAACGAGGCCAACCTCGCCGAGTGAGGCCTCGGCGTTGGCAAGGCCAGCGACATCATCACCGCCGCCGCGAGCGCCTAGGATGGGCGCCAGCAGTGCTGCAGTGAGTACAGGACGCCCGCTGCCGCAGTCAAGCCGGCCCTGTTTGCGCCGACGTTGGTCGGTCTTGCGCCAGCCCAGGCTTGCTTGACAGCGCACCCACTCAGACCCCCCCCCCCTCAGAAGCGCAGGAGATTGTCAGGAAACCCCGGCGGTCGTCGGGCAGGCAGGCCATTTTCCAGCAGTTCGTCGCCCTCTGATTCCTCCACCCCCTTCCAGCTCTGAGTCGCCTCCTGAGGATCGGAATTTCCCACGCGCCTTCTCTCTCTTGCCCTCGTTCAGCATCTGCACTTGGAACGCCCGTGCTCTCCGTGGCGCAGTCTCGGGGAACCACGGCCACCAGAAAACGGAAGCAAGCCAAACTACGTTATATGAGAGACATGTCGCCCTATTCTTGCAGGAAGCGCGTGGAAGCATTGGTGACGATGAGACTGTGCGCCGTTGGCCCCCTCAGCATCGCGCGCTCGCCGCGTGCCATCCCAACCCCTCGGCAGGCGGTTGTTCTATCTTGATTCAGAGTCAGTTCCTGCGAAGTTTCAGCACGTCAGGCATCTGTCTCACCAAGAGGGCAGATGTCGTGAGATTATCCTCTCTGGGTCTCAAGGGCGTTTGCAGATCATCAACATTCATCTTGACCCGGCAATGACTGCTCATCAAAAACGCGATGTCTTCTCGAGTGCTGCGCAGGCGCTGATAGGGCCCAGACTTGCCCTTTCTTTTCATGGGGGCGATTTTATTTTCTACGCGCCTGGAGAGGTGCGGCAGCACCGCGGCGGCCCACCTCGACTCTTTTTTCCAGTGGAACAGGGGTGGCCAGCGCACGTGCGCAGCAGAAGCGGCGTACCAGAATATGTTGCCCGTCTCGATCGTCTTTCTACCAACCTATGCACCTCCACCCTGCTCGACCTCCACCCGAGTGCTGGCGCGCATGGCAGCGCTTGTGGCGCGTCCAACTCGAGCGATCGCATCCTTGTTTTTTTTTTTTTTTTTTTTTTTTTTTTTTTTTTTTTCTCGGCCTCCATCCTGGTTCTGGAGGACAGAATAGTATCCGGAGCTGGGTGGCGAATCATCGAAGTTTTCCTGGGCGCGCTGCAAGAATTCTGCATGATTATTCGGATGGCCCCGCGGGCCGCGCCACGGAGGAAAAAAATATCGCCTTCGCCACCGAGCAAGTTGCGCTTGGAGAACTTGCAGAAGCTCACCCAGATACCCCGATTCAGAAGATCTCTTGGGCGCGAGCGGCCCAGAGGGCTGTTGTTCGTCAGGGCCGCAGGGCCCTGAAGAAAGCATGCCGTGTTTTTTCCCGACCTCTACGACTCCATTGATATTGGCGCTGGCAAGTTTCCCGGTTCCGACAGTTTTCATTCCCTGGTGAACGAGCTGAATGTTCAGCACCTTGCCAGCCTCATGATGAGCGACAATGAGGCCAGCGACCTTCCCCGCAGGCCACGAAGTCAGCTCGAGCTGACGCCCTGCGACGAAGACATGCTGGCTGGTCCCCGGAGCATCGGAAGCTTGGGCTCGCCCAGATTCGCGATCCCCGTGGGCCCCCGAATGTGGATCCGCGTGAAGGGGCTCGTGCGCTCAGGGGCCACTGGGCCAATGTTTGTGAGAGCATCGAGATTCGCCCTGGGGCCTTCCTGGAGCACGTTCCGTTTATCCAGACCCGCATCCCCGACCCTGTCGACTGCAAGTATTAAAGATAGTTTTGTGGAGCTCTTGGGAAGACAAAACATTCTGCGGTTGGCCCTGACGGGCTGCCCAACTCGGCGCGGGCCCGAGGAGGGTCTTTCATCCTACGCTCTACGATATGTTTGAGGCTCTGCTGCAGGGGGGGAGGCCGCCGCCGAAGTTTAACTTGTCCCTCGGCGCATTCCTGCCAGAAGGGACCGATCGCGAGGACAAGCGCGACGTCGCGCGCCTGCCCTCTACGACTCCGCCGATAGCCCTCAGTACTATTGACAGCAAAATCCAGTGTAAAATGGTTGCCTGGCATCTCGCTCCGATCGCTTCGGCGACTGTCGATCACCCGCAGAGGGGTTTCATCGGAGGGGGGCAGCTGCCGGAAAACATCATCCAGCTAGAGGCCGCAGTATTGAGGTGGATTTCGATATTTCGAGAGCACGAAGCTACGCGCACCTTTCTTTGACATTGCCAGCGCACTTCCGTCTCCATCGCACGAGTGGGCCCGTAAGGTTCTCAGAGGCATGCAGCTGCCAGAAACCGTTCTGCGGGCCATCCAGGAGGGATCTCGGGACATGGCCGCGATTGTTTTGTGCTGAGGGGTTGCTGGATATATCATGCAGTGTCTACGTGGAGTCAAACAAGGGCGCCCGCTATCGGGGCTAAGGCGGGCGCAATGCTGTGATCCAATGTGTTAGGAAGGTGACGCATGATATATCCAGCCATCAGTGTTAGCCCGGGGCCTTCGCTGGTGATCTCGGAATGAGTTGCGCGAGATTTGTTCAGTGCTTCCCCGTCCTACTCCGCAAGTTTGGCATGGCTCGCTCTGCTGCTGGGCCTGTTCTGAGTTCACAACATACATGGTACTTTATGGAGGCATTGGGGAGGAGGTCTCCGCCCGCTGACTGATGCCGATGACATTCAAGTTGTCCAAGATGCGCGTTGCCTGGTTTTTCTTGGCCATGACAACGGAGCCGTCTCCTGGCATCGCCCGTTGGCCGAGTTGTGGAAGCGTTTCGCGCGCGCCAAGAGTTTGAAGATGGGACTGATACGCAGTATCTCTGCGCATAATCTGATTGGTTTCCCCACCCTGATGTTCGTCGGCCCGTTCCTCCCTCGGCCCGAAGGTGCTCTGAGGATTCTGCGAGGAGGTCTTCAGTCCATGACGAATAGCCCGAGACGCGCGATTCCGCCATTGCTGTTGCAGCGCGTCAGCATCGCGGGCGTTCCGGTGGAACCCAGGTCTTTGGAGATAGAACGCCGGGCTGCAGCGCGCAGGTTGGCAGGTCGAAGTCCGTAGCTCTACCTCGAAGGGATAGCCTGGGAGCAGGCTCAGGAGGGCGACGAAAAAGGGCCCTTGCCCCATGGCAAAAGAGTTTGGTGGAGCAGAATATTTGTTCCAACCCTTGCAAGACTCAAGATGAATTGGAAGTGGCCCACCAGTGCCCGTGCAATAACCACGCCCCCGACCTCCAGAAAAAGGCCCGCAGGCTCTTGAAAGGTTTCGTGTCAGTCCCTTCTGCTTCCCGCCTCTTGCTTCCTCGCCTGTAACATTTTGAACCTTCCGCGTCAGATGCGCATGCGGATCGGATGCTCACCAACACCAGCTTGATGGGCCAGCACCTCCCATAATTCATCGTTCTTGCTCAGTTACGTGTTCTCTGTAATGTGTGGTGTATTACTAAAAGATTCAGACATAATGGAGAGAGTATTGGGCCGTGTCGGTTTGGGTGTTTCGCTGTCGGAGGGGATGTTCTTCGACACTACTGCGGATGCCCTGTAGCCTTGAACGCCTGAGAAACATTGTATACCCTGCCTGCCCGCTTGTTTTGAGCTTTCCTCTTCTGAACGCATGTTTGCCCATAGTATGCGTTTTTCCAACCTTCCTGAACTTCTTTGTGCAGGTATTGCTGTTGTTTTTTGTCCTCGACACGCAATCCCCTTCGATCGAAGGGCAGGTGCTCGGAATCCCTCGTTACCCTTCTTATGGAGGCCACGCGCAGGGCGATCGCGAAGTGCTCTGCCAAAGCGCGAAAACTTTTCGCGAGGTCGTAGCGGTGCGACCTGTATCCAGTTCACTCCTCTTCCTCCTCCTCCTTTTTCTCCTCCTCCTCCTCCTCCTCCTTCTCCTCCTCCTCCTCCTCCTCCTCCTCCTCCTCCTCCTCCTCCCTCTCCTCCTCTCTCACAATCTCTCTCTCTCTCTCTGTCTCTCTCTCTTCCGGCCCTGGTGTCATCCTGGCGCTGCCATGTCCCCCCCAGCAGCGGTAGAGGGGCGCGGCCAGGGCGGCCGCCGTCCGCCGTCGGAAGAGGGCGAGTTGAGACGACGGTGGATGGCATCCAGGGGTGCCACTCTCGGGGAAGACACAATCCTACTAGCATTCGAGTTTGCGGAGGTCCGCACGGATTTCTGGGATTAAGAAACCCGGAGTAATTTGGACGGGGGAAGGAGGTGGAGGAGGAGGAGGACGAGGAGGAGGAGGAGAACCCCCTCCCCCTCCTATTTCTGGTGGTGGCGGTACAAAACAAGCCCAGTATTATCGTCCCGTTTTTTTTTTTGTTGTCACGCTTTCGCGAGGCCTGGCGAGGGCCCCCGGAGGCTGAAAATTTCCCCAAATCCCGCCGCTCCAAGTTTTTTGGAACGTCGGATCGCTGGGAACGTGAGGTCTCGATGCCCCCGCCCCATCGAGGAAAAGCCTGTACGAGCATTGTTTCCGAGGTCGGCGCGGGTTGCTTAGAGTTGCGCTGGGCCCCCCTTGACGCGCTCCGCGCGCCAGGGAGGGGGGGTCTGGCTCTGATCCAGAGAATGCCGCGCAGACGTCCGAAGGCTTATGTCTGTGCAGTGTTGTCTTCGTCGACTGCCCCCCTTCCCTTCGCTTCCTGCCCGTGCGCCTGAAGTGTCTTCTTCCTGCCCCGCCTCTCTCTCCCCACGCCTTTCCCCTTTCTCACCTGAGCAGTTGAACAGCCTGCTTAGGTTGAACGACCTGCTCAGGGGTGATCGAGGCCAGAAATTGATTTATATCCAACGCCTGGGGGCCCGATGTCCTTCGACACCAGGTGGCGGTGGTATCCATATGTCCACGACTTTCCCAGGTCCGGGGACATCGTTCCCACAGGCGGTATGTACATATTCGAGCCTCGGAGGATTGGATCAAGGTGCGAGGATCTTTTGAGTGGGCCACATATCGAGGTTCGAGGATCGAGATTAACGGTGTTCGGATGGTTCGAGGGTCGAGGATGGAGGAGAGGGGACCAGGGTTTGAGGGTCGAGGTTCCATGATTATGGTTCTGGGCTGTTTTGG